TGTCAATGATGGCTCGGGAGGTTCAAACATAAAGTATGCAGAAAGTTATAGAGTTTATGCTCTCAAAGGTGAAAAGCCTTCATTTAAGAACAGCTATTCTAACGCATATCCTCAAAAGCTAACGGATGGGGAAGTGGATGATATGAATGACAGCAAAAATATTAACAGAAATGGCGACAGAGATGCATGGAATTTGTTTACCATCAGTCAATTGAAGGTTAAACTTTAAAACAATGTTAGTCGTTCCCATGGAATATTTTTGACTTTAATGGTATTAGTCATGATATGAATCTCAAGGTATGAACGAGGAGAGATGAGAGACTTATATGGTTCCCAAATTTCTTCAAAAGGTAATGTTATACCTGACTGTTTCCAAATGAGTTCAATATCATAGCGTGAGAAACCTTGAAAGATAACGAAGTCAGTTATGAGACGTTTTATGTTTAAAGCTAAAAACCTCCATGTTTGCATAAGTATTGCTACAGTTAAGTGGTAATGTCTGACTTTAGTTATGATGTTAGCTAATGGTGAGTCAGGCTTTGAAACTAAACCTTTACCAGCGAAATCATCACAAACGAGCAAAGTGTTTGAAGGATACTTTTTGAAGGGGTATTTTGAAAGTTTTGACAGAATGTAGTTTGTAAGTCGTTTCATATCATAAACTCCTGAGTACTGACGTAAGTGGTGTTTGTCAATAATTCTTTCCATCTCCTCAGAAGTCTTTTGCATTCCTGACTGTATAAATTCAACGATGGCATAATATTTCCTCTTACGTCGAATGTAACGTTGAAGAAATTCAATGAGTTCACTGTCTGGAACTTTAACGACAGAGGCTTGAACTTTTGACATAAATGTTTTCGCTGTTGAGTCCATAGAGTCTGAAGTTGCTGATATAATGATTTGGTCATAATATGAGTCATTTCCTAAACGTTCTGTTATGAGTATATGACGAATGAGGTTAAATGTCTTACCTGAACCCATCCTTCCACAATAGAAATAAACGCCATTTGAACAGAACTCATAGTCCTTACTGAAAGGAAGAATAAGAGAAGAGTTAAGTTTTTCTGTTTCATTCATGTCTTCATCTACGTCATGTATTAAATGCTTCATTTTATCTCCATTAAAAATGCAAGTCAGAAATATTCAGAACATAGCACCGAGTCTAACTGACAAGAGTATAAAGATATACTATGAACACGTTATGATGAAACCAACCAAAATTCAAGAAAGTCAGTATACTTATGAATATCCAAGACACTGGGTAGAGTATGTAGGAGGTGAGAAAGCTATTGAAATCAGACAGGTTCGAAGTATTCCAGCAGGAAGAACAATATTATTGAAGAACTTTAATGTTTTGAGATATAATGATGAAACAAAGAAGCAAGATAGTTTCCTGTTGCTGTGTATGTGAACTTAGATACAGGAGATGACATGAAAGTTTTTAATACAAAGCTTCAAACGGTAGTGAGAGAACAACTGACTGCGGAAGGGCATCCATTACCTTCAGAAGTTACCATAGCATATAATTTTGAAACAAACTCAATAGATTTTAAAGTCGTCTCTGCAAAGAAGTCAGGTTTTACATTTAATGAAGCAGATGTATATTCGAATGAAAACTTCAAAGCTATTGCATGGTTAGATAATGACGATTGCTTTAAGAAAATATTTAAATACAGTGACTCAACGATGTCAATAGATGACCTTCGTGGAATGTTACCATCGACGTTTACAGTAGAAGGTTCAGCAGGATTGCTTACAAGATTGTCAATTGGTGGTATTTGGTCTCGTGAGAACATTGTTATAAAATCCAGTATAAGTGAATTTGCTGAAGAATCTATATTATGTCTTTCAAACTATATGTATTCGCCGCCGAAGCATTATAGTATAACAAACTTTGTCAGTAAGTTTAACATAAGACTTGTCGAACCTTCTTCAATGAAAGATGTGTGTGCTACCTAAAGATGGAAAGGATGGACTCATTATTGAGATGATTTTAATAGCATATTAAATGAGCTTGTTCTTGAAGGTCATTCATGATGAAATAACTGTTGTAGAAGATGTTAGCAATTGTTCAGACATTTTGAAGCGTATAGATGATATAAGAAAGAAGTTAGATAGACCGCAAAGCGGTGAGGGCGAAGCCCGTGAGAACGCTTATGTTTCATTGACTTTCTCCAGTAACGAGAACTTTTATGAGATAATATTGAAGAGAGATGATTTTAATATGGTGTAAATGGTAGCTTGGGCAGCTTTAGGCGCAATGGGAACAAAAGCATTAGCATTTGGAGCAAAAGCACTTGGAGCTTATGACGCAGTAAATAAAATGAGTGGAGGAAGGGTTTCGAAGACATTAGATGCAAATAAAGGAAAGATTGGAGGCTGGGTTGCAAAGAAGTTAAGATTAAATAAAATAGGGCTCATAAATAAAGCATCCAATTTGGTTGCGACTGAGTCAGAAAATGCTTTAGGAAAGGACGATGAGTTTGCAAAACACGCAAAAGACTTTAATGACCAGATGAAAGGTGAAACAATGCATTTAAATAGAGTCGATGGAACTAAAGAAAATGTTTCTTCTCCACCAGTAGTTCTTCCGTATGGTCCCTATGGAATGTATGGAAACCCTTACGAAAGACCATTTGACCCATTGACTGGTGGAAGTAACTGGTATCATTACGGACGAAGAAGAAAGACAGTCAAGTTGGAGACAGACGTGAAGAAAGCAACTAAAAAGAAACCAAGGAAGAGAGTTATAAAGCAATGAATTCAACAGGGTGAAAAAAGAGGTGAGATCTCACCACTTCACCTAAATTTATTTTTGGGCTATGTTTTCATACGTGTGAGGGTGGTGATATCATTAATTTTTAAGTTTATTTTTTTATTTTATTTTTATATAAATGACGAAAACTATTGAGATAACAAACTACAACGGTCATGAGTTCAAGAATTTGTTCTTCGTTCCTCGTGAAAATACATTCTATCAGATACGAGGGAGAAAGGGTAAAGTTAGTTTGAGCGTTTATGACTACAAGCATAATGGAAAGTTTATACAAGCATACGATACAAACGGTAACGTGTTTCATTAGCTTTGTCAAAACTTACTAACATTTATTTTGACAGTGATTTTGACCTATATGAAGAAGAAAGTGAGTCAGAAGAATATGAACTGTTGTGTGAAGCACAGCAATGGGAGGAGTTGCAATACTTTTGTAAGTGAGAACGTTTATTTTTTACATTAGTGAGGTGAAGTGGTTGGCGGCTTTGTAAATATTTAAGGTTAAGTTAGTGTTGTCGTTTGTGTTGTAAAATATACGTTAACGGTTTTGCAAAGTGTCAAATTCACATATCAGGGGTAAGGAGGCGCGCAGTGCCTCCGTACCCTTGATATGTTTACTAACTAACTAGACCACTGAATGCTGATGATGGCACGCCATTAGCTAGAACATGGAAAGACCAAACTTCATTCTTATGCACTATTCCAGTTCAACGTGATGGAGCGGGTATATTCTTTGATGGATTAGAAACTTTCAACTCACAAGTTACAGTACAAGTGAAAGCTTATCCAATCATTCAGGGTGTAAATGACACTTACTGTTCAAAGGTGACAAATCCTCCTCAGGTTTGGTTTACTAGGACTACATATTGGACATGGACACCGGACGAAGGTTTGAAATATCATCCAACAGGTACACCACCACAGTATAGAAGTTCATATGATGAAATATTGATGAATAGAAATGTTTAAAATTATAAATTTATTTTTGATTAAATGGATTTAAATTCATCCACCCCTTATGAAGAATTAGCGGGAGTATATATTACATACGTAGATGATATGATTAATGAAGCATTGAGTGATAATAGAAATGCTCTATCTAAGGAAAAATTAATGAAAATTCCATATTCTGAATGTTACTTAAATTCAATCACTGCAGCAATTGGTAAACAGAATAAAGGTAAAACATTAACGATATTAAAACAAATTATCATTATTGCTAACACTTCCCCCTATTCACATGTGTTAATTTATATCAACCGTTCAGGTTCACCTTCAGATGATACATTTGAATCTTTAAAGCATTTAATCAAAATTCCAATTATTTATTTATCACAAGAAGAAGCAGAAGATTATTTAAAAAACTTTTTAATGTATAAAGAATTATATAATACAATCAAGAAGCAAGGATTAGAGGATAAAATTATTGATAAACAACAGGATGAATTATTTGAAACACTTTCTATTTCAAATTTTGATAGAGAATTTTTGCATTCACTCATTTTTCTAGATGATGCAGTGAAATCAAAACTAATAACAAATGAGAAATCATATTTTAATCAGTTATTAACTCAATGTCGACACATTCAGTGTTCATTCTTTATGGCTGTTCAATATTTCAAAGCATTAAGCACAAACATTAAATCAAATCTATCAACACTTTTCATTTTCAGTGGGTTTAGTCGTCAACAGTTGAACGTTATGCTTTATCAAGTGAATTTACCAATGAGCATTAATGAACTTTACACACAATATCAGCAATTAGGTGAACATGGAAAAATAATAGTTGATTTAAATAAAGGAGGTGTTAAATTTGATTAACTTTTTATAATTAATTTTTATTTTTTATTTATAATTAAACATGACAGAAATAGCAAATCTTTTACAAGTTCCATTAAAACAAGGGACAAACAAAAGGGGTGCATATAATAGAACTATGAAAGTTCCCGATGGAATGAAAGAATTAGTTCATATTGTTGCTGGTCTTCAAAAAGATGTTAAACAAATGAGAAACGTTTTAACATTACCAGAAGCTCAAGCATATGCCAAACGTCATGGTCCAAATTGGGAAGCACACGAAGCAGACATTACGGGTCCAAATGGAAAACCTGATGGTATAAATGAAGTTTTCGTTACTGATGGTCAAGGTAATATTAAAGTCATCAATGGTTATAAATTAACTGTATCTGATTATCCTAAACGTAAAGCATATAATGAACATTATCCTATGCAATTTGATGAAAATGGAAAAGCTGTTAAACAATACATTGGAGAAGGTGAAAATGGTCCAATTAATTCATACCGTCATAATCCATATTCTTATTTCAATGAAGAATTAAATGCTATTGAAGAGGGACCGGATGGATTACCACGATATTCTAACCAGTTTGATGGTCAATATACAAATATTAGACCCGAAATTTCAGCTAAGAAATTCTTTAAAGTTGCTTTATTCGATCCAGTTTTCGCAAATGTTAAAGATGAACTTAAACAGCAATTCCAACCAATTATAGTAGCAAGAATTGCATCAGGTGCTTTATCTCAAGCATTCAAAGATTTAATTAAGAAACCATTATATCAGCAACGAGGTTTAACTTATGATTTAGTTAAGGAATCAGATAAAAGAAAATTTGAGAAATCAGTTGATTATAAGAATGCAATTAATGAATATATTCGGTCTATTAATTTCGATGAAACAGCTAAAAATCAACTTCATGAACAAATACAAGGGATAATAGATTCAAAAGTTCCAGCAAAATAAAAGTTTAAATATATTTTTTTTATTCGAATATAAATGAGAAGACGTTTCACTAGTCAAAAGAACACTAACGCAAAAGCAGAGATTACGGTTGGTTATAACGTAAATGATGATAAATCACGAATTATTCAAAATGTTAAAGTTAATGTTAGCCCTGAATTAACAAGGTCAGCAACTCAACCAAATTTATTAACTCGTGACTTACCGAAGAATGAGGAGAATGAAGAAAACCATGAGAATGGAGACCCAATCATTTTATCTGAACCTGTTGAAATTCCCACTTATCCAACATACCTCCCACCTCTTTCATCAAACATCGAGAACCCATATAAAATAGACATTAATTTTGAATTAATGAAAATTTACCGTGATATAATAATTAATAATTATGATTCAATAATAAATTTAATTGATCAATCTGGTTTAATTATTTTACCTTATGAATCATTAATTCACATTATCGCCATTCTTTGTGATGTTCAAGATTCAGACGTTAAGATTCAATTTTTCATAGATGATGAGGTTTCATGCTGCGGAATAGTTGCAAAAATAAATCCTATAAAGGATATTAGCACAATTAAGATAACAAAGAATGGAACAACAACTGAACATCATTTAACATATAATGATATTTATAATAAAATAGTTGATGAATATAAAATATCACTTGAAAAATTCTTTGTTAAGGCTATTTAATATTCAAGCATTAACATTAACGAATAATAATCCTTTGAATCATAATCAATAATAATTGACCTTTCACCAGTTTCTATCGTTTGTTTTATTTCTTTTTGTTTCCCACTATCTGGATCAGTCATTGTAATTGTTTTTGTTATAGTATCAGCTTTATCTTTAACTTCAATCTTTTTTCCATCAGGATATTTAAACCAAAATTCCAAAAATTCGATATTGTCAATCTGTTCATATTTTAATCTATCAATTACATTTTTAATACCATCTGAAAATCTTATGAAATGGTCATTATATGGGTTTGATTGAACTAAATTTGAATGAAGTGAAATATAACCCGATGATGAATATGACATCGACTCATATTTTCTGAAAACACTAAAATTTATAACATGAATGAATTTCTTATTCGTTGAATTTATGAATTCTTGAGGTAATCTTATTTTAGTTTTATTTATCACTGGAAAATAACGCTTTACCATATTTTTAATCGTAATAAAAAATGTCAATTATCAATATTATTTCGAATAATAGTTGTGAATTAAATTTAACAGTTAGTGGAATTTATAATGTTACTCTCGTTTCTGTGAGTGGTAAATTTAATCCCATTCTTTTAGACCCTTCAGATTATATATCATTTATTAAAGATGACCATGAAAAAACGTATGATATGTATATAAATAATGTGATAGTGAAATGGGATATTAACACGATTTTAAGTTATTTAAATGAATCATTTATCGTATGGTATGAAGAAAATTTTAAATCAAAACCTGATAAACTTTTTGAACTTGATGAAATAAATAACCTTATTAAATTTCCACTGAAAATTAAATTTTGTACTCCTCATTTTCGTTCATTGTTGGGGATATTAAATTTTGAAAAAGATGTTGGGGATGTTTTGTATTCTGACACTGGTTCCAATTTCATTTTAATCAAATGTGATAAAGTTAATACCCCAATGAGATTTTCACATCAAACATTAGACCCTAACTCTTACCCATCAATACAAAACATTTTATCCATCAACTTAAACACATTTTCTTTATCATATCCGTTTCAATTATCCGGGAATTCATTTATTCTTCATTCAAAAGATTTATCAAATATTAAATTTAGAATAACTGACCTATTTGATTGTGATTTAGAATTTATGAATGAAATATTATGGCAATTTCAAATAGAAAAAATAGCTGATGAGATAATGGATTAAATATTTATTTTTAAATTGTAATAAATGATTAAACAACAGCAACCACAACAACTTAAGGCGCAAAGCGCCCAGGTCCTTCAGACCATTACATACGCCATATATGCATATAATTCAAAGACGGCAGAACAAACGCAAAGGTTGAAATATGGAGATTTGGAGATAGTATTGAAAAATGACCATTTCGAATTCGTTTGCAAAGGTGGTGCAGTGATATCAAATATAAAAGAAATTTTATTTATGAATTCAAAAATTAAAGGGATAACGGATGATATAACATCAATTCCACCAGAAGAACAAAGATATTACGCATTAAATGCATTTCCCAAAGTTTTGAAGATTGGAAGATTTAATTTAAATGAAGAATTCATAAAAGGTTTCCTAAATGACATAATGAAGAAAGCGGATAAGGAATATGTGGCTAGTGAATTAAATAAGAAGGCAAATTTGGTTTATGTTGATGAAAAAGATAATGAAATTAAAGAAAGTGTTGAATGGTATCATGAATGGACATCGAAGATTTTTAAAACTAAAGCTGATACAGGATGGGTTTCAGGATGTTTAGACCTTAAAGCGGATAAAACTTATGTTAATGATGAGTTAGAGAAGAAAGCGGATAAGGAATATGTTAACGAAATATACCAAAGTTTGATAGGAACAACAAAAAATATTGAAACTATTGTTGGTGACTTTTCTGTCAATGAAGAAAATAAATATTTTAGATGGCAGTTTGTACATTCCTTAAAAAATGGTACACGGTGTAAACTCATTCCGAAAAATAACAATGAAATGTATGTAAGTTATAAAAAGAATGATGGCACACAAGTTAAAGTTCCATTAGACAACAACTGTTACTTAAACTTATATGGAGACGAACAAAAGAAATATTTAAGAGTTTATGAAATGGTGGATATGACATTGCCTGACCCAGCTCCAGCACCATATTATTATGACTATGGAGATGATGTCAGAACACCACATGTAGATGAACAAAAGTTAACATTATATTTAGATTATCATAGATATAAAAGATATAATGCAATAGAAAAAACGAGAATAGTATATTATTATACAGATGACAGAAATAAATATTATAGTCAAGATTTTACCCACCCCGAAAACATAAGATTATATTATAAAAAATATTCTGACACAAACCAAAAGAAACCTGAAATAGTTGCACTATATTTTAAGTTCAAAAGAGACAATCCTATAATATCTCATATGTTTGATTTAATGAACCCAGTAGGTTCTATTTATACATCTATGGATGCAAGAGGTCCTCAAGTAATGTTTGGTGTTGGTGCATGGGAACAAATAGTCGACAGGTTTTTGTATTGTGCAAACTCATCAAAGGAAACAGGGGGAAGTAAAACGATTACAGGTGAAAATTTACCTGCACACAGTCACTACATAGATTTAAGTACATCTCAAGCGGGTTGGCATAAGCATAGATATTGGGATTGGTCAGGAATGACAAAAGGTAAAGGATATGATGTTAAAGATGACGTTAAGTTTGCTATAAATTGTTACTGGAGTGACACTCAGGGAGAAGGAAACCATACACATTTCGTTTCAGGATATACACAAACAACAGGACAAAGTAAAGAATACATGCCACCTTACATGACAGTTTACGCATGGTATAGAGTTCAATGAACGCTCAATGTTTGTGAAACAAACTTTAGAACGGACTGAAAGTCCTGAGCTCCAATAATAATTTAAATTTTTATTTTAGTATAGGGTGTCCAAAGGTGTGTTTAGCACAAACCTGAATACTGCGAATAGAAATAAACAAGTTACATATATATAAAGTTTATTTAAATATAATCACCATTGGATTCAATCACGCGTTCGCAGCGATCGATCCAGGCTTGAAAGACACGCTTTAAATCATCATGAGAAAATTGCTCAAATTGCTCTCTTACAAAATTTTCAAGATCATCTGGACTCGCGAATTCGCGTCCTTCAGCTCTCTTTTTTAGCGTGCCGAATAAATAAAAGTCAGAGGGTGCAATATCAGGTGAATAAATTGGGTTTGGAACAACTTTGACATTGTTTTCCACCAAGTAATTCATTACCTTATGACTTTTGTGAACTCTTGAATTATCAAAATGAATTGCAAACTTTTGTTTTTGTTGTTTGGATTTCTCAAACTCATCAGAATTGATAATTTGAGTAAGAACATTGTCAATTAGATACTGAGCATTCATCGTATTAGGTTTTTGAAGAATATCAATTGCGATGATGCCATTCACGCCCCAAAAAACCGACAACATCATCATTGGTGTGTCAATTTTTTTCTTCGGGAATGTTTGCGGATTTTCATCCTTCGGGATCCACATGATTTTGGCTTCTGTTGCATATTGAAACCAAGACTCATCCCCTGTTACTAAAAAGCGAAACTTCTTGGATTGATACGCACCCAATATAGAGAGGAGCTCTTTCGAAGATTGGACTCTAGATTTTTTTTGAACTGAATTAAGGTTGTGCGGAACCCAACGTGTATACGCTAGTTTGTAGTTCAAATAATTGTGCAGATAATAACTGACTGTTGTACGTGGTATCTTTGTCATCTCCTCTATCCTTCTGAGTGATGCTCTTGGGTCTTCATCTAGCGCTTGAAGAATTGCTTTGATTTTTCTTTGATTCGGCGATTTTTTGTCAATTTTTATGATGGGCGCCTTTTTGTTCATGAAGTGATACATCCTAACATGATACGTTACAGTGGAATAGCTAGGAGCATCCATACCGAAGCATTTTACCAATGTCTCGTAGATTTTTTTACAGTCTTTGCATTTTTTTGCAAGAGCGAGGATGTTTTCTTTATGATTCATTAAAAAAATGAAAAAAATCCCGCCAAAATTTCCCGCGAAACCGCCTCTTGTCTCAAAATTCATTTTATATCCCGGCATGGCGCCAAAATACAACATACTCATCATATACATATATTCATATTTTTTATTATATATTTATAATCAGCATATATCTCCTTTAATAGTCTCATATAGAGCGCTGTGCTAAACGCACCTTTGGACACCCTATATAAATGAAGATTCTACCATATGGTGTTATTGGAAGAGATAAAGATGGAAACCCAATATTTGATCCAAAGTTAAAATTCAAGTTACTGACAAGACAACAACTTGAAAAGTTGCTGAAACCAAAACAGGATGAGAAAATGAGAAAGAAAAAAATTTAAATTATGTAATTTTATTTTTATCATAAATGACAAAATTAATTAAGCCAACTATTTCTAAATTAATGTTACCAATGAAATCATTTCATGGAGTACTTATCCCAGGTTCTTCACAATTAGCCGGGGCAAGTGTTGTGACTCAAGGTGGAACATTAGCGAATCCATTCAAATTATTAACTAAAGATGAAGTTAATAAAATGATGATAAAATAACTGATAACAAAATTTTATTTCACTGCTACCATGACAATTAACTTCTCTGAAAAAATGAGACAACATGACATTTTGACAACAGTCATGGAAATATATTTTTATCGTTAATGGTTTCGTTAATGTTTTCATTAACTGATAACATCAAATTTTATATAAATGGATACCCCCCCACACACAAGCTCAAAATTTACCACGAATCATAACAAGGGAGGAAATGATCAAAATGATGCAAGAACAAATTAAAAAACAACAAACCACAAAAACCAAGAAGATGAGGAATAAAAATTAAATTTGGATTGAGTTTAAAAATTCATCTTTATTAAATTCATCTCTTCTAATCAATTTATTTATTCTATTAAATTCTTTTATTTTTGCTTCACTCAGTTTAATGATTGAACGATAAGTTTCTAATTTTTCGATTATTTCTTTCCTCTCTTGATCGTTTTCAACCCCACCACATTGCGGCTTCTTTTTATAATAGCATATTTTTGATTTAATTCTGTTTAGTTTCTTTTTATATTCATCGTCCGGACTCTTGGTTGCTTCGTTGTCACTCATTTCTTACGAAATAAAAAAAAATTAAATATTATTTAAATATAATGGAGTAATAAAATAAATCGGAATTTCTATTAATTTATTGTTAACCTCAACTAATGCATTGCCGTTAATATATCTAACAAATTCAGCTATTGTGTCAAATCTTCGTCTTCTTTTTGTCATTGATTTATCAGTTTTTCCATAATCGAGATGAATCAAAACTTTATCCCCTTGTTTTAAAATTCATGAGCCCCGAATTAATTTGTTCACGTTTAACATCATTTAACCTTTCCATTTGCTTTCTAATATATTCCCATTCTTTTGAGATATCATTTTTCATTTCCACTGGTTTCATGTTTATAGTTCTATGCCATGTATTATTGTAATAATATACTAACTGCTGTATGATAGAGTCATGATTTCCATCCCAGTATATCTGACCGTTAACCCCTAACGCATCTCTAAGAGTTCTCATTACCGCATCAACTATTTTATTATGAAACGTATATGGAGAGGATGAAAAGTAAAAATTAATTTGTGGGAAATAATGAGCCATAGCTACCTGAAATCCTTTATCACCATCACCCCTGATATTATCTACTCTTTCATGATCTAGTAAGTATTGAATAGCTCTTCTTGTTTCCTGTTCTGTTTTCCCTTTCACCGGAATGCAATATAAATATCTGGTGTTAATGTTAATGGCAAATAAATAAGTAACGTTTCCTTTTGAATATTCTAAATGATCGATTTCGTATGAATATGGATATGGTGCAAATGAGGGGCGACTAAATTTTTCCTTTAACGGTTGAATTTTTGGGTCAGTTGGTTTATTTAATATCTTGAAATCCCTTTTAAAATCTTTTTGCTTCTTTAATGTTTGAAATGGATATAATAAAGTGAATGATGAAGGATTAACTGAAGGAGGAGGTACTACTGTTGGAGGTTTTGGTGTTGCAAGTGGTTTAATTTTATCTGCTTTGATTTTGGATTTCATTCCTCCTTTCATTAATTCCGGATGTATTCTATTCATTTGTTTTAAATATGCTGTATATAAAGGTTTGATATACTTTCCTGCTTCGAGTTTATGTTGAAGGATGAATTCCAAAAGTTGATCTTCATTTAAAAGTCGGGCTGAGTGTGGTTTAACTAATGAATCATAAATTAAAGCTTGTGCATCACTTATGGTCTGAAGGACTTGGGTGTTTTGCATCTTTGTTTTTTGCGGCTCGGGATTATATAAATTATATAATTCATCAATATCTTCTTCTGTTAATACTTTATTTTTGAAATCTTTCAATTGTTTAAGTTGTGATTTAGTTTTTCCCTTTATATATTCATTATTTTTAATTTTGTCTTTAATTTTAGAAATTATTTTATCATGATATTTCAAAATTTCATTTTTATAATATGGATAATAAAAAAAAAAAAAAAAAAAAAAAAAAAAGGTAGTGGGGCCTCCAGGCACTTCGTGCCCTCTAGCCCTGAAGATGTTTAGTATAATGAAGTTTTTTTTTTCTTGGGATGGCCTTCCAGGCACTTCGTGCCCTCTAGCCCATAAAAAGTTTTTGAGAGTCGTCGCCGTTGACTTTTTTGTAGAGCACTCAAAATAGTATAACTTTGTCCGGACAAGTAAGGGTCTATCGTCGCTACAGGAAAAGTTACGGGCGTTCCAAGGAAGTATACTTTGAGAAGCCTTTTCTCCATTTTAAAACAAGATAGGACCGTTATTTTACAAAACTGACAACACTTTGACCGAGTAGTTTTTTGTGCTGAACAAAAAGTGTCATATAAACATCTGTCAAAAACCGCTTTTTAACTTCACTTAAAATGCCACGTAAGCTACGTAAGAATATACGTAAGAGGAAGAGAGCATTGAAACATCCAATAGTAAAACTGACACCACAACAACAGTTGCAACAACAAATGATGAATGACCCCACTATGTTGCAACAAATGTCAAGCAACCCTATGCTTTTAAACCGAGTTATTGGTGCACAGAGTGGAGGTTTAAGAGCGGCACTTTTAGCGAAAATGGCAGGCTATGGTGGAGCTGCAGACGGAACAGCTTATAACCTCAAAGTCAAATGAATTTGAGTTCACTCAAAAATCAAATAACAGATGTCAAAAAGTCAAACATAGACATACAGAAACAAATAAGTGAAACGAAAAGAAACTAGAATATGACAGACACACAAAGAAACTAAATGAGTTAAACGTAGAGAAAAAGAAGAAAGAACAACTGAAAGAACTAAGTACAGAGGAATATGCGAAAAAAGTGTCAGAAAAAGCAGCAGAAGTAGCAAAAATGGAACAAGATGTTATAAATTTGAAAAACATACTACTCAATATAAAGTACTGAAAGATGAAGAAATAAAACAAAAGCCCTGAAGACATATATGGATAGCGATGAGTATAAAAAAGAAGTTGAAGCAAATGTAAAGGCAGAAAAACTTTTACAGTTGCAAAACCAAACCATACAGTATGAAAACTTAGCACAAGAAAGTCAAAATAACGACGCAGCCATGCAAAAGGCAATGAAAAGCGCAGAATATATAAAAGCTAATAATGACTGGTTAGATGCCCAAGCCAACGCCAAAGCAGCCCAACTTATAGGGTCAATAAGGACAAAAATACAAGCGGATGAAGACAGTTCAAATGAAGCTTTAATGAATGCTGACTTTAAGAACACCTTCGAAGCTCTTCATAGTAAG